CCAAACAAGTGTAGATTGAGAATTTTTTATAAAACATGTGTATTGTGGGGAAAAATCCATAATTGCTTCTGCTATCTATTATTGACATTGTCTGCCTGCCATTTTGACATCCGTTAATTGTCTCTCTTGTTCGATTGAAGAAAAAAAGGGGTTTCGATTCTACTGCCGAATTATTGTTGAGGTGTGACGATTTTGGATATTATGGATCCTTCCCAGCGAGCTAAGGGGCAAGAATTGGAGTTGAGTTTGGAATTGGAGAATCAGTAGGAGAATTATAGTGGAAGAAAGAGAGATTGAGAAGAGAACATAAGCAGGAGCAAAAGAAAAAGAGAGAAGGCAGAGTAGAGGTATAAGAAGATTGATAAATTGACATGCTTCAACATTGCTATGAATTTGGCAAACTCAGTCTCCATCCTGTCTTTATGTAGGCGAGTGGGGAAAGGAAGCTGGGGTACATGCTCCTTAACCACTGGCTCTGGCTTGGGAGCGGGTGCTTCTTTGTCTCCCCCCACTTCTGCATTATCAGCTATAAGTGTTGAAGCATGAAGTGGCTCATCTTGGCTGGGCTGGGCCGGAGCAGCATATGTGGTCTTACCACTCCTAATAATGATGGCCTAGCTGCTGGTGCTGGTGAGGCTCACGAGGATTCGGAATAGTGGTGGCAGGCAGAGTCCCCGGTGCCCTGGTAGTGTTTTGGCGAGCCATGCTACCCATCTGGTTCTGCAAATCTTGCAATATGGCACCTTGGTTCCTCTGACCTGCCTCCAGGGAGGCTATGCTCTGCTGGGTGGTAGTCATGAATGCCGCTAGAATGTTTTTCAGCTCCGTCATCTTATTATCTGGAGCCGGAGCTGCTGCTGGCTCGGAAAACTAACGCTGGGGCTGCTGGAATGGTTGCCCCTACCTAGGCTGGTAGGGCTACTGCTGTGGGGTGGCCACTGTCGAGCCTGGAAGGGCTGCCTCTGCGAAAGCCACCAGCTGGTGCTGGGAAACCAGGTGGTTTAGTGGTGTTGCTATTCCAAGAGAAATTGGGATGCTGGCGCCACCCCTCATTATATGTATTGCTGTAGGGGTCAAAGCGCCGAGCATTGGCAATGAAGTCCAACTGCTCTTGGGGAGTAGTTGACTCCCGCATAGCCTACAGTCTTCCACCAGATGATTTGAGCTCTCACACCACTGACATTGAGCTACTGGAGGTGTAGCCAAACCTCTGCCCGGAATAAGACTGTTGGGCTGCTTCAATGTCTGCACTAACTCGGCCACATGCTGCTCGAGCCCGAACCTGGCCTCAATGGTGTGCACACCACGGTCCCGGAAATTCCTGCCTCTGGTGCCCTGCCCCCAGGAATGATCTCTGGCAGCCAAGGTACTGATCATCTAGTTCAGTTCGAGTGGAGTCTTAGTAAGAATATCCCCTCCTGGGCATAGAGTCTCAATCACCCTCTGGCTGTCCGGAGAGAGGGCACTATAGAAGTTCCTCACTGTGAATGCATCACTGAAGCCATGATAGGGGCACTGCCAGAAATATCCCATGTACCGCTCCCATGCATCACGAAGTGACTCGTCTGGCTCTTGGCGGAAGTGAGTGATCTCCCGCTGGATCTCTGTGGTCTTCGATGTTGGGTAGTACCTGTGCACGAACTTGTCAGCCAGATCATCCCAAGAAGTGATGGACAATGGGGGCTGGGTCTCCAACCACCTCTTAGCATTCCCCGCCAGAGAATGGGGGAAGAGGTGAAGGCGGATTGCGTCATCAGGGACACCGTTCAGTTTGAACCCGTTCGTCAGCTGCAGAAAACGGGAAAGATGCACCCTTGCCTCCTCATCCTTCAAGTCATGGAACTGAATAGATGATGTAATGAGTTGAATCCAGCATGGCTTGATCTCGAAGTTGTTCGGTGGAATAGGCGGGTAGAGGATGACCGGGCGGATGTCAGCGATCCGTGGAGTGTAGTAGTACTCCAAGGTGGGACCTGGCGGCGGTGGATGATGATGAACCCCATCTGCCTGGGGTATGGGGTTGTTCCCCAAGACCTGATTCACCGGGGAAACCTGGTGAGGATTCCCCTGGTGTGGATTGTAATCTCCTTCCATCTCGTACTCTTCCTCAGAATCGCTGCTCAAGTGGCCGTCTATGCGCTCCTCCGTAGCCAGTCTAGCTCGCTGTTGTCTCCTGAGTTGGAGACAGGTGCGTTCAAGCTCCGGATTCAACGGTAGTAAACCTCCCGACTGGCTACGGGTCATGCACTACCTACACACAATCAAGCAAGCAAACCCGTGAAGGCACAAGTGGGAAAGAACAAACAGTCAATGCGAAAATGAAAATGCTAAAGTAACAGAAATCACTTTTCTTCAACAACCTAGCCGTCCCCGGCAACGGCCCCAAAAACTTGACTCACTCCTACTGTCACTCTAGAAAATGGCCAAGTGCAACCACTTCCTAAAGCGTAGTATAGCGGGTTTGGGTTTTAATGTCAACCCGGGTCCTAGATGTGATGACTACTCAGTGAATTCTTATTATCTAGTGGTGAAACTTAAGTGCAGGTTCAAACAAGCAAAAACACAAAGCAAGTTAAACGATTGTTTCAAGTCGAGAGAGGTCACCCGGATATGTTTCCCCCTAGACTGCAGTTAAGCCGGATTGCAATTACCAAGTTCAGTTTCTATGAAAGTTATACTGCGGAAGGTTCTTAAACAGTCTGAAGTCTCAACTAAAGGTCTCCAGACCCTCTCAATCTGAGTCTCTAGCGGGCGACTAACCTCCACCTGAGTAAACGAATTGAGGCCCTAACGAACAAAACCTCCTCTACCGAAGTAACTTTGGTACAGAATAGTGAATTGACTCCTCGACTAAAGTCGCCAATTCACCACCTGCAATTAAGGGTGCTCTATTAACCTAGGCAGATATTCTCTTTCTAGGTTAAAGCAGAAATAACAGGAATTTGATCAGGATTCATGCCGTTCAATCATTCAAACCTCAATTGAATATAATCAAATCATAGAATCTGTACTTGGGTTCATACAATCAGACCTAACATACAAATCTAGGGTTCTCCATACCCAGATGAATGGGAGAACTACTCCATGGAGAAAGAAGCAAAAGCATATTCAGATGCGGAAACCATACTGTGAAGGATGGATTTCTGCTCCTGGTCGTCGATCGGCACTCCTCCAAGCTCAAGTCGGGCTCCAATGGTGATGAAGATCAAGCTAGGGCACTTGGGAACTCTTGTTCATCGCTTTCTCTCTCTAGGAATCGCTCTGTCTCTCTAAAACTCGGAACTCCTCTCACTTGTGGCTGGAAATTGGCTTAAAACCAGAAAATCCCGACTCACACGGCCGTGTGACTCCCCCAGCTGCCCGTGTGGCTTTGCAAAACGCGGCGTTTCGTTAAGTGACTTCAGGCTTCCCACGCGGCCACGACCCACACGGCCGTGTGAGTGTCCAGGATGCCCGTGTGGCTTTTGCCGAGCCTTCACACGGCCACAGTGGGTCTCCTACACGGTCGTGTGGCTTTTGGGCATGCCCGTGTGGCTTCTCAGCTTCTTGCCAAACGTCCAAACTTCGTCCAATCGACCCTGAACTCGTTCCTAAACCTTCATTCACGTACTAGGACCTGAAATATCACAACAAGAACAACCTAGCGTGAAATCGGCCTAAAACACAGGAATCGACATCTCAAACGGCTCAAGAATAGGGGTAAAAACATGTGTAATCAATGGTCTATCAACCGCCCCTGAAGGGTGTGGTCTGAATAGTATAAATACCCCCTTCCCCCTCTCATTTCTTCACACCACAACCCATTCTTCCTTCTCTCTCTAGAATTTATCTCTCTAAACCCCCACCCCTCCCAAAAGCCTAGGAAATAGTGGTCTGTTGGTTGCGGCTAAGTCCGATCTGCCATCAGAAAACATTTCTTTGGTTTTTTACTCAAAACCCGCCGAACCGAATTGCTGTCCGAATTTCCCGAAAAAATGAGCGAGTGGTGGCAAGGAGAGGGAGTTTATGTTGATGAATTTCTAGCTGTACATACTCATTATTCTTGTTTAATTTTTGTTGTTGTTATAAGCTTTTTAATTAATCTATGTACTAACCTCGTTGTTATTTTCTCGTAGGTTGGGGACGACGTGGATATATACAACCAACGGTATTATCTCGAGTAAGGACAGTTGGATCCAACCGACTTGTACGACCAACCCAACCATCGGTCAAGGGATGTTTGGAATGATCACCCGGTACATACAATTCTTCATCATTTGTCTTTCCTTTATTTTGCTAATGTATTTAGTGGAATATAAAATAAATTTATGTTGAATTTTTAATCGTGTTGGTTGCTTTCAATAATTTAATCGAATACATAGCGCCACTTAATTGGACTCTTTATAAAGAGATGCACGTCTAAAGAAATGGGGTTTTAAGTGATTATCATATCCTCCCATTCCCTGGGAAAATCGGGTATTAAGAGATCCTCGGATCCCCTCTTTTCTGTCAAAAAAAGTGTGTTTCTAAGAAGATGTATACCTCTTCTAAGAGTCTAACGAGTGTTGCTTTGTATTCGATTAAATTATTTAAAATAACCAATACGATTAAATTGTTTACCAAACAACCAATACGATTTATTTTTATGTGTACAAAATGAATTTAATTAATTTCAAACATTTGAATATGTATGTTTCTCTTTAAATTATTATTCATTTACAATGTTATTTATGTTAATTAATTTAATATGTTTGTTTTACGATAATATGTACGTATCTCTTAAAATTATTATTCATTTAGAATGTTATTATGTTAATTAATTTAGGATGTTTTTTTATGATAATATGTATGTATCTCTTTAAATTATTATTGATTTAGAATGTTATTATGTTAATTATATCGAATGTATTTTTATGATAATAAAATTCTGCTTGAAGTTAAATAATTTAATTTAATTAATTTAGTTATAAGAAAAAACCCTTGCTAATATATAATAATTAACGCGTAAATTTTTGCTAGGAGGCACAAACAATACTCAGCTACATGGGTACGACCAATGTGCTCCCATTCCACCCAGCTATCTTGCCCTTTCTCAAAAGGGCACGGTTGGACCCGATTAGGCATTTTAACGGCATCATAGTCGATCGTTAACTCATCACCGCATTAGCTGAGAGATGGAGGAAGGAGACCCATTGTTTCAACTTTAGAGAAGGAGAGGCCACCATCACGCTAAAGGATGTCGCCATCCTAACCCATCTGCCCATCAACGGCAAACCGGTGTGCGCGAGTGATCATCCCCCCGAGGATCGTGACGGTAGGCCCGGTTGGGTTCATTTCATCCACAGTGTTTTGGGAGTGAAAGTACTAGTCAAGGGGAGCGTTGATGTGACTGATCGCTTGCCACCAATGAGGAAACACCAAGTCTCAATTACTTGGTTGACGAAGTATTTTAGATACCATTACGAGAGTCATCCCCTAACCGAGAAAAGTCCGGAGGATGATAGGCATGATCGTGGGAGTGTTCTTCTCCAAAAAATCAAGCAATCTCCTTAGCTATGGATGGCTTAGGATCATCCTCGGTAGTTGGGAGGAGATGGGGGGAGTATAGTTGGGCATCCACTTGCCTAGCTAATATCTACCACAATTTGTGCAATGCGTCTCTAAAAGCTGTGAGGGAGGTTGGCGGCGCAATGTTCATCGTCCAATTTTGGCCTTGGGAGCATATGCCATGGATTGCACCGGTCCAACATCCCGACAGGGATTGGCCAATCGATCATCCCCTAAGAGGTGAAGCTTATGGTACAAGGTAAACTTCTCATACCCCATCATGTTTTTCATAACACATTTTCCCTTGTGTTTTAGCTTATTGTAGTTTCATTATTGTCTTATTAATAAGGTGGCTCGGACACACAACATGCGACAACCTTGCCCAACACAAGTTGGACGAGTATCGGAGGAGGTTTGAGCGACTTTGGGAAGGAGAGGTAACTTCTATACTTCGATCCATTTATATCTTTTTCCATGGACTACATGTATTTTTCCAATTCTGATAAACTTAAGTTACTCATTTCTTTCTTGTAGATCGTCTTCGATCCATACCCGGAGAACATCGTTCATTGGCATCTCCAGCAATTCCCCGGGCATATCAGGCAATGGTGCACGAGGGTCCGTCTAATTTGTTTTGGGACCGTGGAGTGGCACTTGCCGGATAGATGCCTCCGTCAGTTTGGTCAGGAGCAATGCATTACGTTGGAGGTCCCCGATAGTCAAAGGGCCTTTCACCACCGAGATGGTCGGCAAGGTACTCGCGATTGACCCACGAAGTTGGCAAAATTCATCACAATGTGGGAGAACCGACAATCCCAGGATATTGTCACTCCAACTCAAGTGGGTCGAATGGGGTATCATGACCCATACATGGATCGATATCGGCAAACATCGGTTTGGTACATGACTCTGGAGGCTGCGGCCGATGGTGCATTAGTAAGTACATTCCGTCTAAACAATTATTAGAGTTTATTACTTGGTTCCTAATTTTTTCTAACTTTTTTTTTTTATTTCGGCTTATGGGATCGAGCGGATCATAGATATGACCACCGGGAGAGTTGAGCTGGGCAATGAAGATGTGAGCTTCATCAGGAGGATGACAAACAGTCTGCTTGGCTGTATCAGAGCTCAGGGTCGGGATCATCGTAGATATCCGCCCATGCCCGCACCTCCGCCACCTTCGGTATAAGTTGATGTCCCCGATCCCCCACCACCATATGAGAGAAAGAAGAGCAAGAGGGTTCGGGAAAGGCCCAACGTGCCCTACGTAATGCCATATCAAGCGTGGAAAGTGCCGGCCCCATTGGTTGTGACACATGTTGTCGGCCCGAGTTCCGCCCAAGATCCCCGCCCGAGTTCATCCCAAGAGCACCGCCCCTCCATCCACAACGATCCCCACCCAAGCTAATACTACGATCCCCGCTCGACCTACCATCAATCCCCTCCGAGCTACCATCAATCCCCATATGATCCCAACCCGATCTCATACAAGGATCCCCGCCAACCATCATACGATTCCCGACCCGTCTACCCCCCAACTCCCTGCCAACAATACTACGACTCTTGCCCGGTCTACCACCAAGATCCCCCTACATCATCAGGTACTTGGCATGATGGTTCCTCCACGACGGCGCCCCACGAATTCACCCCATGGACTCGCCCTCATCAGTCGTGGCCTCCTACTCCTCACCGTATGAGCGCAGATGTCCCCCGCTCGACCCCGGAAGAGCCGCCTCTCCGCCGACACAGCACCGACGAGCGCCACACTACCTCGGCCATTCGGCCATTCGTATGTCACCGCAACCACCTATTGTTACTCCCGTCGGCCGTCGTACAAGGAGCAAGAAAACCGTCAGTTCCGGTGAAGCTCGTGGACTTCCTTGAGATGTATTTTGAGTTGAATTTTAATTATATGTACTTGGAACTATTCCTCTTATCTTAGTTTATTTAATTGAGTGTTGTTTTAATTTGTTTTTACTTCTATGTAATTGGCTTTGTCCATTTTTTTCGTGTTAACTTTATATTATCCAAATTCGATCAATCAACAATTCACAATTACTTGCCAAAGAAGTCATCTCAACAATTCACAATTACTTGCCAAAGAAGTCATCAATCAACAATTCGCATTAGCTGAGTCTGCCACATCAGGACCCGGTGTTTGTGGACCAATCGATCCTGGACACCTTCGTTTATCATGTCCTGGTACTTTGCATATTGAACATCGTCTTGGGCCTCGAGGTGGTCTTCCACTTTGATCCATTTCGTTCTGAATTCTCTTTTTCCTCAGGCGACCCTGTTCACGTCTCTGTCCGAACGGCGGGATGATCAATTTTTCTTCGTACAACTGCCAATAAGCTTCATCAGGCAATGCACGGAAACTCCGCCCATAGGTGTTTTTGAGTAATAACAATAAAAAGTAATACAAAATAAACTTACGAGTTAACGTTAATCGCAAAAACACTAAAGAAATATAGAGCTAGAACAGAAAATTGAAAAGGGAGAAGGAGAGGTGTGAAGAGAAGAGGTTTTCCGTGTAGTCTTTTATAGGCAAAATCACTGATGAAAACCTCACCTTAGAGATGCGTTTTTCGTTTGCCATGCAGCCCCACGTCTGTTATTCTGCATGGCTATATGTCGGGTGTCGGAAAATAATTGACACACAAACCGCACTGGGGAGGGGTGCGGTTTGTGTGGCAAAACTGCACCTTGGAGATGCGTTTTTCTTTTGGAGAAGCAAACCGCATCTCCAAGGTGCGGTTTTGCTAGGTCAGGCCAAAACCGCCCCTCGGCCGTGCGGTTTATGTAGGTCACACCTGAAACCGCATGGCCAAGATGCGGTTTTGGCCCCGGATAATAAACCGCACCTTGCAGGTGCGGTCCATAAAAAAGGGTGCTATTTTTGTAAATATTTTCGGGTGGGTGCTATTTTTGTAATTTTTTTTTTAAGGTGCAATTTTTGGAAAAATCTCCAAAATAAAACACAATATTTATCCAACTTCTTTCGGGTGGGTGCTATTTTTGTTCGCGCGCTTTCGAGCTGAACATGGCATGGCTCGAGTTCGGCTCGTTTAGTTAACGAGCTTGTTCGTGAGCCGGCTTGATTAAGACAAATCGAGTTTCGAACGAGTTTTTCTCGAGTCGGATACCGAGCCGTTCATGAGAGGCTTGGTTCATTAACAGCCCTAGCAGCAAGGTCACATCGCCAATCAACCACATCTCAAACAAAGAATAAGCCACAAGATTAGACGAATATATATTTAGATTAAGACTTGGCGTGATTAACGAAGACCAATTTCCTCATTTGTATATATACATGAAATCGAATTAGAGAAGAAGAGTAAGAACATTGAGAATGGAATATGATATGCAATGAAAAGAAGAAAAGAAAAAACTACAAAATAAAATGGAAAAAGATAAAAAGAAAGAGGGAAGAGATTTAGAATTAAAGCGTCATTTTAAAGCATCAGTTTCAAGTGAGAGAAAAGAATAAAAATGAAACTCAATTCCAACGAATAAGTTATATTAAATCGTTATTGTATCTAAATTTATCATAGAAATTTCATGAATATCTAAGCAAAATATATGTGAAATCAGTAAAATTTTCATGCACCTGGGTAAAGCTAGGCTTAACCACGTTAATACAATTCATCTATTAATCCTTAATCCACTTGCTTAAACGACTCATTGGTGGAATTGAGTGACAACCTTGGTCATAACAAATTAGACTGAACAAATTTGTCGTATATTTTTAATGGGTTGTTGTATATAATATATATATTTATATATATTCATTTTTTACCTATATTTGGACGAATCATAACCGTCGATTATTGTTTCTAATTAAATTGATCTTGGGGTATAAGATTTAGAGAAATAATACCTAGATTTTGATCTTCAAAGGTTAGAGTATAGTATCATGTCCGAAAGATCAGTCAATTCAAGGTCTGTATAGCATTTTCATACTCAAGGTATGCGGTACCCCGAATTTCACTCTGGATACTGTAGAACTCGCCATATATATATATATATATATATATATATATGGTGACTTCTACGGTGCCCAGGGCAAAAGCCGGGTACGGGTACCTTGGCCGATCTTAACCGCTCGTTTTCAATCTCCACGGCTCACGTTTGTTAAACCTAACTGCGCCACTAAATAACTAAACAAATTACAAAAAGCCTCCTCCGCGTTAAGTTTGTTTTCATCCTAGTCCAACTAACTGCCCCGATTAAATTAAATGGATTAAGACCCAAACCCAATTGGGTAGACCCACTGCCGCCCAAACCAATTTCCAGTCTCCCTAACCAATTACACGATCCCTCTCTCGTCTTGGAGGGACGCCCCTTCACAGTTCCAAGAGAAGCTCCCCATCCACATTCGACGTAGATTGAATTTCCCAAAAAAATTTTGTCTTGTTTCTTCTTCGCCATTGTATTTCCCCTCGCCTATCTCTTTCTAACACGATTACGGCGACCATGTCTATTATTGTGTTCATCGTTGCAAAAGAACCCTTGAAAGAGGTTTGCTAACCCTAGGGTTCATGTCCCTAGTGCTTTGTCATCTTGTCTTAGCGTTATTGTGATTTTCTCGAGCCTTATATCTCTCGGTGAATTTAGGTTTCCTGATATGTAGTGTTCGTCTCGCCCAGAGGATTGAGGAAGAAGATGAAGAACACATAATTTGATTCGAATCGGATGGAGAGGTCTCCTTAGTTTGTGTTTATGTATTAACGGTGCGTTTAGGACTAATTCTAGTTGGACTGGGTCTGATCATTGATTTTTGCAGGCTTTTAAATAACATTCAAACGTGGGCTTGTACATGACCCATGCAATATTCAAAAGTGGGCCTGGAACGTGCGAGCCCATTAGTTTTCTCCTGCGGTATCAGCGCCAATCCTAGTTTAACTAGCTTTAGTTACCCTAGTTTAACCTACACGAGTTAACATCATCATTACTACATATCTTCCCAAATCTTCTAACTCTTGACATTCCAGACTCAACCGTCTCCATCACTCGTCTCCACACTCAACCCCCACGATCACTTTTTCTTACACCTACAATCTCTCTTTCCTCCATCTTCACCTTCCCTTGTTCCTTCTTCCTCTGACTCCATGGCAAACAAAGGCAAATCGTTTGCGGATATGGGCATACTAACTCTATCAAACGACGACTGCCGATCCACCCCAAGTCTCGCGGACTATCTTTCATTCACGAGCAAGACATCTATTGTGGCCGAGTACGAGTTCATCCACCTGTCCCCTTTCCCTCGAGAAGTGAAGCAGTTAATTAAAAATCTTGGCTGGGAAAAGTTCTTTGATCTCCGGAGTCGAGGAAGCACCAGTTACTGCCCGCATGTGGTGAGGAAGTTCTACCACAATTTAGAGCTGTCTGGTCCCTCCGATTCTCATCTCGTGTCGGTCTTCCTGGGTTATAGAGCCTGCTTCTAGCCTCATCAGTTTGCTGAGATCCTCGATCTCCCCGCCGCAGGACACCACATTGATAGCAGAAGCGATCTTCGGCTGTACGATTTTGAGTTCGAAGTTGAACTGGCGAGACTGACGAATGGGCGCATCCAGGCTTCTTTCCTCCCAGATCCTCTTCGATTCCTCCATTGGATGATCGTCAACTGCTTCATGCCAAGGTACAGTGGTCATTCGATAATTCGTAAACTTGACCTGTTTATCCTTGTGCAAGCTCAAAGAGGTGTTCCTCTTAACCTCGCATCTCTCATGTGCATGAACATGGTTGAGGCTGCTCCTAGAGGGGTAAACTGGTACATTGCCTTTCCATATGCCACCTTCTTGACCACCTTTCTTGGAAGGGTTGGGATGGATATGGGGGTTTATGCTAGGGAGGACCATTCCGCCTATTTGCCAGTCTACCGTATCGTCGAAGTGACCAATACTTTTTATGACCTTCGGCATACGGAGCATGAAGAGACCCCTGAGGCATCCTCAAGCAAACGTCCTCGGCTTACATGAGAGTCGATTGATGCAGGGCGGGGTGGAGCAGTGCAGGGCGGGGTGGAGCAGTGAAGGGGCCAGCATTGGATGTGTTTTGTTAAGAAGTTTACTGTAAGGCTTCGTTGTTTTTTTTTCCCAGTCTTTTTCTCCAGCACTCAAAACTGTCAGGTACTGAGGGGAGCCAGTACATCATCTGACTAGGAAAGTCTCCCATTTTTTTAGTTATCCAGACAAATATTTTTCTATGCATGCAGTATTTTGTGAATTTGCCATGGCTAATTTCCCTAAGACAGGTGACGAGATGCAGTAATGGTCATCCCTAAGCAAGGAGGTGCAATTGCATCCTACACTTGCTATGATGTGAGAAGCTATTGCAAGGGTGCAAATTTGGTTGCAATTGAAATTGGCCCACGAGTGGGGACTATTGATGAAATTGCAATGTTTTCTCAAAATTATAGAAGTGGAAGTAGGGACTACCTATGAAATTGCAAATGAATTTCATTGGGGGAGATTTTAATCCGCTTTTGTTCTAAGCAGTTCCAATTAGGTTGATTATAATGATTTTTTATCTATGGTGATTTTTTTCCCCTTTTTTGTCAAGACTCATGCTTCTTTTATCCCCCTGTGGATCTATCATGCTTCGTTTATAGTAAAATATCCTTTTAATTATACACAATAAAGAATCCATTAATTATGTATGCCTTTTTATTGTATTTATTACTACAATGAATTCTCTGACTAAAAGGGGAGTAAAAACATCGTTGGTGGAAATTCAAGGAATGGAATGATAAGGGCTGTGCATAAATTCAATTTCTGTAAATAATTAATTTTATTATTATTAGTTAGTAACGTCATAAGTTTTAGTTAGTGGGTTAGTGTCTCCTACTTTGTAGCTTCAATCTGTTCAAGAGTTGGTACTTAAGCCACTCTCCTCATCAATGTAAATCACTACTTTCAATCCTTTACATGGAAGCCTTTCCATATCCTAGGAACATTAAATTAATTACATAAGAATTTTCTATCTGCCTTGTACTGGGTTTGGTCATTATTTATACTGATTGGGAGCCAATCAGTTTTACCTTTTGGGTTACCTATACATGAATGCAAATTTAATTATACGACTGGGAGCCAATTAGTTTTACCTTTTGGGTTACCTATACATGAATGCAAATTTAATTATACGATTGGGAGCCAATCAGTTTAACTATACATGATCCCAATTAAACCTCTCTACAAGATACAATGGCTTGAAGCCTTGAACAGAAGCAACCTCACTCACAAGTTGGAAGCTGGAATTTTGGTGAAGTCCCTTTGCCAGTTCCACGAAAAAACAAACCAAACCAAACCAAATATAGAAAGCATTCACAATACCAAAAACCAAATATAGCAAGCATTCACAATACCAAAAACCAAATATACAAATCATTCACCAAACCAAAAACCAAATATTAAAGCCATTCACCAAACCAAATCAAAAACCAA